ACACACACACTTTAGGCGTAGCCTCTTACACCTGCAACTATAGGTCTATACAAGACCTACCTCATATTCTATTTAGATGTAATCTATATAGAGAGGAAAGGAAAGGACTAAGAGAAGCCTGCGAAGGCGATCTATCACTACCTATCCTCCTTCAAACAAAAGAGGGTATAGAAGCAACTATTACCTTTATTCAAGAAACAAAGGCTAGAACACAAGCCTGGTACAAGGGAAACACAGAAAACGAGGAGTAATACCTGTAACAGGTAGCCATACACCTCCCCCACCCTATCCTACACCCTACCTACCAACCAATAGGCTACGAGCCTCACCTTCATCTAGTTAAAACCCCTCCTAAATATCGTAGCTAGAAACAACCTACTTAGATACTTGTAGGCCTAAAAACCCTACACGTCTTATATAGCCCTTTGGGCTGAAAAAGGACGTTAAACTAGAATAATAATAATAATAATAAACTGGGCTGTGGTGCGGCGCGGAGATGCAGAGGCGTCCGATGATCCGAGGGTCCAGGGGTGAAGCATGCCAGGAAAGCCCCTTAATTAGCCCAGACTCCGTGCCCAAATGTGAAGATTTTAACGGACTTTGTCGTCTGCGAGCTTGTGCTGACACAACTTTGTCATGCAACTAGGCAAGCCCGTCATTCGCGTTATTGACGTGCTGTGGCTGACTAAAGATGCCCAATGGATTATCTGATGGCGCATGCTTTAGCAACACCCGCAACAGGGACGTGATAATGGGTGATCGCAAATGCATTAGCAATGCCTGGCAATCAAGCGGGCGCGTCATGGCCATGCGGAATCCGAGCGTCGACGGGGTAGCAGGACCTACATAAGCAGGTGATGGGTCTGGATAGTTGTGCATACTCTGCGCTTTCATTAGACGCTTTCTGCAGCCATGGCCACTACCCATCGCGCAGCTCTCATGAGCGGTCCCGGCAAGCCCCTAGAGGTAGCAGATGTGGATTCCATTCACGCCGGCCCGGGCGAGGTCCTGATCAAGAATTATTCCATCGCGCTGCAACCCCTCGATGCGAAGATGCTGATTGCAGGGTACGGTCCAGCTGCGCAGCTAGCATACCCCGCTGTTCTCGGCACCAGCGGTGCAGGCATTGTCCAAGAGGTAGGCGACCAGGTCCAAGGGCTCGCTGTGGGCGACAGGGTGGTCTTCGACACCAAAGCATATGTCAATGCCAGCGAGAACCGACGGACGGGTACCTGGCAGCAATTGGTTGCGTGCGACTCCAAGACGGTAGCAAAGGTGTGCCAAAGATCAAGACGGCCGCACACACCATCCTGACAAGCGTGCAGATTGGCGACGTGTCTCTCGACCAAGCCGTATTGGTGGATTTTCCGCTACAGACTGCCGTCGCCGCTCTCCACGTCTTTCTTGGCATGGGGAAACCTGGCAGCGGCACTCCCGAAGAAAAGATACTTGTCTGGGGTGCTGGAGGCGCAGTCGGTTCCTATGCCGTCCAGTTCGCGAAACAAGTAAGTCGGCGATCCCAATCCTACCATAGCACGCCTTGGCATAAGTTAACAAGCCCCAGGCAGGCTATAAGTACCGTAGTCGTCACAGCCTCGCCCCGAGACGTCGAGCGTCAGATGCAGCTCGGAGCCTCAGAGGTAGTCAACTACAGAGACGCCGATATCGTCGACAAGCTGCGCAAGTCTGGCCCATACAAGTATCTTTTCACAGCTAGCGGCGACGCAGCTTCTCAGAAAGCGCTGGCATCTCTCGTCGAGCCGAGCGGAGGCGCCTTCGCCAGTGTCTTGCCGAGCACGGTTGAGCTGCCATCCAATGTCAACGTCATCTACACGGCCTTTTCGCAAGCCGCGCAAAAGGACGAGTATTCCGAATGGCGCGACTGGTGGTACCAAGAGTATCTGCCGCGGGTTTTTTCAGAAAGCCTAGTTGAGCCCGTGGAATTCACAAAAGTCGGCGGCGGGTTGTCAGCATTGCAGCAGGCCAGCCAGGATGTGTTTGAGGGGAAGATCAAGGGGAAGCTCGTCATCAATCCTCAAGAATAGATGGTAACCCGGCGATTGTGCGTCTTGATTGTCGTGTGTGCGTGTGTGTGTGTGTCTGCCTAGAACGTCAGTTGTCAAGCTACAGTGCCCGTGCACCAGATGAGCACCATCGCCAGTTGAGCACCCCCAACAACTCAATATAGTCAACAAGATGAGGCTGTAGAGCCACCACAAATCGTAATAAAATTGCGCAAAGCTAGGATTATACTATATACAGGCCTACAAAAGTTTTGGCTTATTCAGAAATTTTTTTGGAGGGCGTTATCGGTCGTTGCCGTCGACTACGCGGTGGAGCAGCTCGTGCAACCCTTGCGGCTCCCACCACAGCTGGAGCAACACCACCACACTTTTGACGCTTTGTAGCTGGCTTATGAGGTTTTGACGCTTTGCGCTTACCCGATTGGGGCAATTGTATAGCTTTGGCAGCGTCGCGGAGGCTTCTACGATGCTCTCTTTCGGCTTTCTCTTGCAGCCTTCCGCTTTC